ACTTTCTCGACACCACAGGGGATGCGGAGGGGGTGGGTCTCTCAGCTCGGCCGCTATCCACGACACTGGCGCAAAGCCTAGCAAGCGTGGCACTTTCTCGACACCACAGGGGGTGCGCAGGGGGTGGTCTCTCAGCTCGGACGCTATCCACGACACTGTCGCAAAGGCTAGCAGGCGTGGCAATTTTTCTAGAAAACACCGGGGGTGCGCAGGGGGTGGCTCTCAGCTCTGCCGCTTCCACAACTCAACACAGGGGGTGCGCAGGGGGTGGTCTCTCAGCTCGGCCGCTATCCACGACACTGGCGCAAAGGCTAGCAGGCGTAGCACTTTCTCGACACCAGAGGGGGTGCCCAGGGGGTCTCTCAGCTCGGCCGCTATCCACGACACTGGCGCAAAGCCTAGCAGGCGTGGCACTTTCTCGACACCACAGGGGGTGCGCAGGGGGTGGTCTCTCAGCTCGGCCGCTATCCACGACACTGGCGCAAAGGCTAGCAGGCGTGGCACTTTCGCGACACCACAGGGGGTGCGCAGGGGGTGGTCTCTCAGCTCGGCCGCTAACCACGACACTGGCGCAAAGCCTAGCAGGCGTGGCACTTTCTCGACACCACACGGGGTGCGCAGGGGGTGGTCTCTCAGCTCGGCCGCTATCCACGACACTGGCGCAAACCTAGCAAGCGTGGCACTTTCTCTACACCACAGGGGGTGCGCAGGGGGTGGTCTCTCAGCTCGGCCGCTATCCACGACACTGGCGCAAAGCCTAGCAGGCGTGGCACTCTCTCGACACCACAGGGGGTGCGCAGGGGGCTCAGCTCGGCCGCTATCCACGACACTGGCGCAAAAGGCTAGCAGGCGTGGCACTTTCTCGACACCACAGGGGGTGCGCAGGGGGTGGTCTCTCAGCTCGGCCGCTGTCCACGACACTGGCGCAAAGCCTAGCAGGCGTGGCACTTTCTCGACACCACATGGGGTGCGCAGGGGGTGGTCTCTCACCGCGGACGCTATCCACGACACTGGCGCAAAGCCTAGCAGGCGTGGCACTTTCTCGACACCACAGGGGGTGCGCAGGGGGTGGTCTCTCAGCTCGGTCGCCATCCGCGGCACTGGCGCAACGCCCAGCAGGCGTGGCACTTTCTCGACACCACAGGGGGTGCGCAGGGGGTGGTCTCTCAGTTCGGCCGCTACCCACGACACTGGCGCAAAGCCTAGCAGGCGTGGCACTTTCTCGACACCAAAGGGGGTGGGCACGGGGTGGTCTCTCAGCTCGGCCGCTATCCACGACACTGGCGCAAAGCCTAGCAGGCGTGGCACTTTCTCGACACCACAGGGGGTGCGCAGGGGGTGGTTTCTCAACTCGGCCGCTATCCACGACACTGGCGCAAAGCCTAGCAGGCGTGGCACTTTCTCGACACCCAAGGGGGTGGGCAAGGGGTGGTCTCTCAGCTCGGTCGCTATCCACGACACTGGCGCAAAGCCTAGCAGGCGTGGCACTTCCTCGACACCACACGAGGTGCGCAGGGGGTGGTCTCTCAGCTCGGCCGCTATCCACGACACTGGCGCAAAGGCTAGGAGGCGTGGCACTTTCGCGAAAACACACGAGGTTGCGAAGGGGGTGGTTTCTCTCAACTAGGCCGCTATCCACGAAACTGGCGCACAGCCTAGCGCAAGCGTTGGCCACTTTCTCGACACCACAGGGGTTCGGTGCCGCAGGGGGTGGTCTCTCAGCTCGGCCGCTATCAACGACACTGGCGCCAAAGCATAGTAGGGAGCGAACTTCTCGACATCACAAGGGGGTGCGCAGGGGTGTGGTCTCTCAGCTCGGCGCTATCCACGACACTGGCGCAAAGCTTTGCAGCCGTAGCACTTTCTCGACACCACAGGGGGTGCGCAGGGGGTGGTCTCTCAGCTCGGCCGCTATCCACGACACTGGCGCAAAAGGCTAGCAGGCGTGGCACTTTCTCGACACCACAGGGGGTGCGAGGGGGGTGGTCTCTCAGCTCGGCCGCTATCCACGACACTGGCGCAAAGGCTAGCAGGCGTGGCACTTTCTCGACACAACAGGGGGTGCGCAGGGGGTGGTCTCTCAGCTCGGCCGCTATCCACGACACTGGCGCAAAGCCTAGCAGGCGTGGCACTTTCTCGACACCAACCACAAGAGGTGCGCAGGGGGTGGTCTCTCAGCTCGGCCGCTATCCACGACACTAGCGCAAAGGCTAGCAGGCGTGGCACTTTCTCGACACCACAGGGGGTGCGCAGGGGGTGGTCTCTCAGCTCGGCCGCTATCCACGACACTGGCGCAAAGCCTAGCAGGGAACATTCGCGACGAGGGCCCAGAACGCAGGATTGTGCATATATATATATATATATATATATATATTATACATAAGCAAACACATAAGATTTAAATTAAGTATGTGGGGTTCCTCGGTAGCGTAATTCGTTTTTACAATTTTCGGGCATTTGGGGAATATCTTTGGGGTATTCTGAATTTTTCGTCCAAAATCCCCCTGTAGGGGGGCATGCCCGACCTAACCCCTCGGCCCCGAGCCTGGGGTGAGCCTGGGCCGGGACCCGAGAGGTGACCCGCTGGCGCGCCCCCGATCTGGCGGCGCGCACGCGAGGGTGGCGCGAGGGGAGCTGCCTCCTGAGAAGGCGGCGCGCTTCTCAGAAAGCAGGGGCCCTCCCAGAAGGGCCTGGAGGCGTCTGAAGAGGCTCCTTGGAAGCCGGGAGGGCTTCTATAAGAAGGTCCCTCCCGCACGTGCTCAGAGGCGCCCCCGGCTTCTCAGAAGGCGCCCCCCTCGCGCTATACCCCCCTTGTGCGCGCCGCCAGCTGGTCCTTCTCCAGCGCCAGGTCTCGCTCCAGCGCCAGCAGCGCAGCCTTCGCTTCGCCTGCCGGCGGCGCTGCTCCCGAGCAGCACTGCACGGCAGCGGAGCGGGCACCGTAGTAATGCATCATCCCTGCTGCCCTTGCTGGGAGGGAGGGGAGGAGGAGGAGGAGGAGGAGGAGGAGGAGGAGGAGGAGGAGGAGGAGGAGGAGGAGGAGGAATCGAGAATCCAGGAGGAGGAGGAGGAGAAGGAGGAGAAGGAGGGGAAGCAGGAGAAGGAGGATAAGGAGGAGAAGGAACATGTGCAACGCTTGGCTGGTTATGGGCAGATCCTCTATCGTGGAGGGGCCGCCTTCTTCTAGCCACCATCGGGTGTCGGAAGATCCCCGATGCTACACCTGGGATAAAGGCGACAAGCGCCAACGAACGTGTCAATCTTTTTTTTAACGCACCAAATTCCTGCTCTAGGCAAACCCTGAAAGGTAAGGCCCCATGCGTCATAGGATTGGGGATTGAGGCTGAGAGGCGGTCAGACAGACATACATACAGATAGACAGACAGACAACTGCCAGATATATGGACAGACAGACAAACAGACATACAGACAGAAAACAACCAGGCACCTAATGACGCACAAGCAGAAGTGCAGCATGACGTAAGACACAAAACGCACTGACGTGTACTACAACACTTTGAGTTATGGTTGAGCAGGCAATTCGGATGCAGAAGCGGAGAACGAGACAGGGGAGGCATCTCCTCCCAACTATTGTCATGGACTTTCAAACACACCATGCCCACTGTTGCTTCGGTGTGCCTTTCTTCCGGTATTGGTCCCAGCTTCGAGGCAAAACATGACCCTGGCGGACACGTGAAAATTTGCAGCAGGTGGTCTTTATGCAACCTGGTGACCTTTGTCTGTCTCTCGCAAAAGGCCTCGCTGAGAGAGGCGGGCGGTGGCAAATTCGAATTGACCCACCAGTCTCCCTGAAGGATATCGGAGCGTTTGGGAAGATGAGGACAACAGAACTTCACTAAGCTAGTCAACCTCACCGCCACACCTCCTCCCCTTGATTTCTTCGCCGTCATCATCCTCATGTGTCATCCATCTTGTCTCTCTCTGGTCACTGCTTCAGCTGGGAAGAGACTGCGTGTATGAGGCCAGAGATTTCAGCACAGGGATAGGAGCTCGGACTGTGGAAAGGGCAGGAGAAGGTGTCTGCGGGGTGGAGAGGGGAATGAAGACAGAGAAGAGTGAAGACAAGGAAATGGTGCAAGCACACAGCCAGAAATAACGAATGACGTCGGTTCAGCGCCCACACACATAAGGCGAAGCCAACCATCCTGCATGGAGGCAAGCTGGGTAAGGAACGTCGAGCAAAATCCTCGGCCAGCACATCCTACGTTTTGTTGCGCATGCGCGCACGTGTTTGCTCAACAACATCTCCCAAACGGAACGTGGCTGCGAAGGTGCCCTGCATGGAGGGCTGAGTCGCGCCTGAATCAGCGTCGTTGGCGCGACGTGGCGTGGTTCGGTGAAACCCCTTTCTCTTCGCACGCCCATCCGATCGGTGTTGGGAAAATCATAGGTCAATACTTTTTGGACCCCAGCCATGGATGTGATCATTCTCATCTTCATGAAAGACATCCTTCTCTTGCCTCATCTTGCCCTCCTCCTCCTCCTCCTCCTCCTCCTCCTCCTCCACTAACCTCCCGAACATCCTGTGTGCGAATACCGTTTCAGGAGGACTGAACAAACCCATTGTCAAATCTAGGAGCGATGCTAGTGTCAGATGAACTAGGGCTGACGAGACCTACGCCCCCAACATGCAAACCATCGCCCTCCTGGTACTCGCGAATGACCGCTGTGACGGCAACATTTGCAATCCATAGTTACCCGGGAGAAGGGCCCAAATCTGTGCGGCTGCGTGTAGCGCAGGGCATGCTCTCCTCTTCACATGCAATGCGGTCAAAGGGCTCCAGCACGAACACACAAAGGCGCGCTACGCTCACAGCGTGGCGGGGCACGATCCTTGTGGGTGGTGGGCCGCTATGCGAACTTGCCCACCAGAGCCGCAGGTGGAGCTCCATGCGAAGCCACACATCGGACAACAAAAAGCTTGAACAGAGGACGCGGCGGGTCTGCGTTTGATCTGCCCACTGCACCGTCGAAGCTCAACCTCACTCCTCTCCTCCACTCATTGGGTTCTGCAGCCACCCCATGCAAAGTGCAGCGAACACCTGCGACTGGACGAACACAACTGCTACCCTGCCCCAACTTTCGGATCTGGCAGCCTGCATCATACGCGGAGGTGGGTGAGCTCGTGCCACCAGCCCCACCATCCTTCGCGGCAACGATTGCGAGAGTCTGCAACTCGTCCTTGGGGCGCAGTAACGAACCATGTTTTTAACTCGCAGCGCATCCCACCGAGGCGCGATGAATGAACCCTCTGGACAGAACCAGTCAGAACACAAAAACAGACACGGCTCACGAACGACGTTGCGTCAAGAAAGCTGGATGGTCCACTATCGCGGCTGCGAACCACCGTACGGATCGGAAGAGACCGTGGTGTTGACACACGGGAGTGGCGGAGGACGGACGCGAGGCGAGGCGGACAGACCATGACACTGTGGATGCATCCCATCACGGTTCAACCGATCATTCATATAATTAGGCAACACACGCAACGACCACTGTACGGACAACGCAAAGTACAACAGAGAGACATGCAACCCGTACGGCGACGCGGCTGACATGAAATATGTCAGAATTTCTATTGCGCGGGAGAGAGACGCAAAAAGGGGAGAGGAAGAAAAAATGAGAACAGTAGCCAGGCGCAATAACGAAACATGCAACACTGTGCAATTCATTGGTAGACAGATGCGTGTATGTATGTGGGTACATACTTGTGTTCCGAGATGTTATCGTACGATCGTTCGCTTCGCCTTTTTGGAAAACCTCATGCCCATCGATCCCACTTCCACCTCCCCGTGCCCATCGCGTAGGCTCGATCCCGTCCCTTCGGCCAAAGCTGGCCGTGGCCTGACACATCAAGCCGCGAGCACTGGTGTTCTCAGCCTTCACGCGTCCAAGCTACCCCACCATGGGCCGCGCGTGGGCATATCCCCGCATCGTGCTTCCGATACAACTAAGAGTTTGCCCGAAGACGTTCACCAAGAAACTCTGCCAGAGACAGGCACCGAACGGCCGAACTCAGAAACCGTTCCAGGATCGAAACCTCAGGGCGCAGCAGCGCGAGGCCCTCGGAGCCAGGGGGCGGCAGGGCGAGGCGGCCAGAGCGAGATGTGCGTCGAGGACCCCTGCAGGCCAGCAGGGCTGTCAGAAGGGCAACTCTGCTGAAGCTTGAGGCCATTACGCAAACATTACGCATGTCTGCCACAGGCCGTGCGTGTCCTACTGTAGGTCGCCTTGCGTTGGCTCCAAAACTGTCGAGTCCTGCTGGCACTGCGCGCCTAGCACATATATTCCATCCTGTACTGCGTTTGCTTACTGTACCCTGTCACTTAAGGATCCCCCAGACGATTAGCACCAGAAATATGATTCGCAAGGGGTGCGAGCAATGCACGCAACATGCAGGTAGAATGCATGAGCGCCCGAGTTCACACTATGATGGCACAGGGTATATTCAAAATTTGACAGGTTGATTCCTTTCCAGCTTGGTGTCCATGCCCCAGTGTGTTCACTGTGCAAAAGCTGAACCATGCAAGACCCCATACGTAACAAGCGGGACGCTCAGGATGGCGGGCTAACCAACATATATCGCCGCGCCGTTTGTCATCGACGCGCCCAACTAGACGATGCCGGTACCACGGCAAACCCACGGCAAACCGTGCGACACACGCCCCACGCAAGTAGACGCATCCAGAGCCGCGGCAAACCCCACTGCCAGCCCTGCGTCAGAGGCGGAGTTTGCCCTGGTGGCCGAAGCGCTCTCCCCAAGACGCAAGGCCGCGCGTCAGAACAAAAAGCGCGGCGACACATGATTGTGAGGGTCATGACGACGATTTGAGGATGCGAATCATTATGACTCGCATGGGAACGCAACTGAAGACGACCATGAAGACGGATACTGGTACGAATGATGATTGATGTGGGAAGCTGGCCCGTTAACCCGAACTTCCCCGTGCTTCGTTTGTAAGAGGCCAGCCTGGTAAACTGGACCCACATGCCGCCCAAAAAGGTTCCACAAGAAAACGGAACCAGGGAGAGTCAATTACGCAATGGATTTGGGGTATCCTTGTCGACGGATTTTTGGGATGGGCGACTTAGGGCCGCTGTGAGTCTGCTGTTCGGATATGGGAGGGTCTCGTGGCTCGGCAGGGTGTCAACAAATGCAGATGTCTGGGGTGACTTTCAATCGCTTCGTCGATGCATGGAACGTGCAATGTGGGGCAAAGAGCACAGAGCCTGAGGGGGCGTCTAAAAATGGGAACCGCTCCTGCTGTGGAGGGAACCGTCACGGGTACTTCAAACGGTAGCCTGAAAGGTGTTCACATCTTGCCGTGGCCACACGCGCATGTAACACAGCGATTGAAGTAGCAGATGCTCTCTCGCGTCGGCCAAATGTGGGCCCATGCCATTGCAACAACGTGCTTGGACGGATCCTCCAAGTTGGCCTGCAGGCTCTCCATCCTGCTCAGGCGGGCCTTGCAACCATGCGGGCGCTCACCGGTTTAGAGAAACACAATTCGATGAGGGCAAACAGAGGAGGGTGATGGGCAAATTTCCACCACCACTACCGTGAGTAAGAGAGGGAGGAGAAGGAGGAGGAGGAGGACCTCCTCATCTCATCCTCCCGTCTCCCTCGTCCTACATCTGCTGGTAGTGGTGGTAGAAAATTTGCCCATCAGAGGAGGAGGCGGACCTCAGATACTCGCAACCGGAACATCCCTCAGTGCGCTTGCAGCCGTTGGTGTGCGTCGGGCCCCTTCTCGCTTCCTGCGGAACAAAGGAGCCGGGGCCCCCGACGCATCGAGCCCCAGGTGCGCGAACTTGCGCGGCCAGGCCCCTGCACGTCTGGCCCCCCAGGCTGAAAAACACCTTGTCCCGAATTACAGCGCCTGGGGCGCGGGGGGCTCCGCGGACCGTGGACCCTCCCCCCTCCTCCCCCCCCCGACAAGAAAGCGAAAAAGACCCCCCACCCCGCCCCCGTCCGTCCGAGCGCTGTGGCGGAACCGCTTGGCAGCACAGCCGGACGCAAGATGCGGCCAGGCGTGAGAGGATGCTTCAGCCTGACTCGGGGATTGACAGAACCCCCTTTAATAAAACGTGGTTTAGTGAAAACGACCTCGGGCCCCACGCGAGAACCGAAATCGGACAATTCACTTATCGACGTGTCAGGGTGGGCGTTCTGTTCGCCTCCGACTGACAGGCCCTTCTTGGAACATTGCACCGGGAGGGCCCCGATCGGTGGATTTCAAATGCTTCGCGGGGTGCCTCGGCCGGCCTTCATCCCGTACTAGTCTGGTTCGGGTATACGCTGTATCACTGTAGTCCAGTCTCTACATATTCGACGTTCCTCTCTCTCGCTCTCTTTCCCTCCCTCGATGTATGCGCGTACAACTATTATGATGTACACGCTGATCGCTCTCTATGCTTTCTTCGATGTGCATCTGTAAACATACACGCACTTTCACTGTATGTCTCTCTCTCTGTCTCTCTACTCCGTTTCTCTCTCTCTCTCTCTCTGTCATTCCTTCGTTTTTGTTTATCATCGTGGCTTTGCTTTTCCCTCTCTCTCTCTCTCCCTCTCCCCCTCTCTCCCTCTCTATTTGAAAGAGGAAGCCGAACGGTCATTCACTGTCCCTGGGTCCGTGGCTGAAGTGGGTTTCCGCGTTACGGTTTGTTGTTGCTGTTGCTGTTGCTGTGGCTGTTGCTGTTGGTATTGTTGTCGGTGGTGGTGTTGTTGTCGCGGTTGTACGTGTTGTTACTGTTGTTGTTGTCGTTGTACTTGTTGTTATTGTTGTTAGTGTTGGTGTGGTTGCTGTTGTTAGTGTTGTTGTTGTTGCTGTGGTTGTGGTTATGGTTATGGTTGTTGTTGTGGTTGTTGCTGTTGTTGTTGTTGTTGTGACCCAGCCCGCGACAAACACGCGACCCACCAGCGACCCATCTACGACCCAACCGCGACCCACCCACGAGTCACCCCGCGACCCACCCGCGACCATCCCGCGACCATCCCGCGACCAATCTGCGACCCACCTCGCGACCCACCCGCGACCCACCCGCGACCCACCGCGCGACCCGCCCGCGACCCACCCGCGACACACTCGCGACTCACCCGCGACCCACCAGCAACCCAAGCGCGACCCACCCGCGACCCACCCGCAACCCACCAGCTACGCACCCGCGACGCACCCGCGACCCATCCGCGACCTATCCAAGGATCCACCCGCGACCCACCCCGCGACCCACCCCTCGACACACCCGCGAATCGCCCGCGACCCACCCGCGACCCACCCCGCGCCCGCCCTCTCAATCTTATCCACAACTGCGGGGAGCTACATATACTGGAGAATGGGGGATGAGAACGCAATGAAACGGAGACCTTCCCACCAGGGAATCGATTTCGGCTTCGTGTTCGTGTCGTTCGTGCGGGCGAAGCGAAGCTGCGTGGGCGGGCGAGAGGGATGAACCCGCCCGGCAATGGCCCTCTGGTGTCCCGATGGTGCCCCGATGGTGTCCGGTGGTGTTCCGTGGTGTCCCGTGGTGTCCGGTGGCGCAGGGGTGTCCCGTGCTAAGCTGTGTGATCTGCTATTTTATGCTGGCGATTGTGAGATCGGTAGCGAGATCGATCGTGTGATTCATGGAGCGATCGTGAGATGGATACTGATATCGATAGTGGGATTGGTAGTCAGGTCGATTGAGAGAGATCGATAGTGATACCGACAGGTGTCCATAGTGATACCGACAGTGGGAACCGTAGCGATTGACGATAGTGAGATCGATACAGTAGTGATATCGATTGACGATAGTGAGATCGTGAGGTCCAAAGTGTGCTCGACAGTGAGATCGATCGCGATATCAATGGTGAGATCGATCGAGTGACACAAACCGTGAGATCGATAGTAAGATCGATCGTGAGATCGATGCTGAGACTGATAGTGAGATCGATAGTGAAATCGACTGTGGAATCGTTAGGAAGGTTGATAGCGTTATCGATGGTGAGATCGATAGTGGCATCGATAGTGAGATCGATGGTGACATCGATAGTGAGACCGATAGTGTAATGAGACCGGTAGTGAGCTCGATCGGGACATCAGTCGTGAGATCGAACATGAGATCGGTAGTTATATCACTATTGTGATCAATAGTGTGATCGAAGTGAGATCGATAATGATATCGATGAAGAGATCGATTGAATGAGATGAATGGTGATATCGATAGTGAGATCGACTGGGGACCCAAGAACCCCGGAACCAACCTGGGAACCAACAACTGGAACCCCGGGAAATCCGAGGCCAACCGAAATCGGGGTGGAATCAGCAACCGGGACCCGGGAACCCAGAAACGGAACCCAGGAACCCTGCCGTCTATCGAAATCGGCCAGCATTTTTTACCAAACCTTGCCATTTCTGCTAGGACCCCTTCAATGCATTGGGGAATGTTGCCGATTCTGCATCCGTTTCGAATGGAGGCCCCCTACTTTAGCTGCGGTGTCCGAAGCAGGCCAGAACAGCGAGTTGAATCGGATACCTCCTGCATGCGAGGAGACGGCAACCTCACGTTCGATTGCAATTCGGTGTGCGCATGAGGTGTTGCCCGATGTCCTGAACTCTCCCAGGATGACCCGTTTCCCTTTGTCACGCATCAATCAATTTGTCACCATCAATTTTGGCACGCAGTGGTGCGCAGGCGAGGAGGGACGCTCTCGGCGAGGAGCGCAGCTGCCGCAGCGTGCCCCGAGGCAGATGATCCTCCAGGAGCCGAGGAACACTCGTCCTCCTCCTCCTCCTCCTCCTCCTCCTCCTCCTCCTCCTCCTCCTCCTCCTCCACCTTTGTCACCATCAATATTGGCACGCAGTGGTGCGCATCGGGCAGAGGCTTCCCAGAGAAGGAGGGAGCGATAGCTTCAGTGGCTCCCCGTCTTCTTTCGGGGAGACGTAAGACCCGGGTACGGGGGACTCGGAAATCCCCGACGAGGTCGTCAAAAAAATGACGAGGCCGAGCCTGCATTTTGACGAGGCCTCCCGCTGCAGACATCCCACGAAACTCCTCCTCGTCAAAATCCGAGGCGCGGTCGTCAAAAAACGATGGCGAACCCGAGTCCCGGCAAACCCGGGTCTTACGCTCCCCCGATTCTTATGGCTTGCTTGCGCCTCTCTGGCCCTCAGCCCGAACTCCCGCCTCGTGTGCCTGCCCCACCTGTCCAGGCTGACCTACACAAATGGCTCTCAGCTGCCACGGGGGCGGCCACTCAAGAGCTGGCAAGAGCTGGGGGAGAATATTTGGAGGAGATCAGTGGTGATGGGCCCAACGGTCCCCCACAACGGGGCAAGAATTTGTCGTCGAAGTGTCGACAATCAATTTCCCTCCCAAGACGAGGCCGGGATGGTCTGTCGCCGTGTCGCCAGCCGTTGCCTCTCCCGAACGGGCCCGGATCCTCGATCGAAGTGTCGCCAAGCATTTCCTCTACTCGTCCTAGGCTTTCTCGGCTTCGTGCGCTGAGCTGCAGCTCTTCCGATCGCGAGCCACCTCTCCGTCTCCGTGGCCCGTCAGGGGCGTGCCCCTCGGGGCCTGCAGCCTGCCTCCGAGTGCTGCACGCCCTCGGCAGAGGCTCTTCTGTGGGACGTTCCGCGGACATCCGGGTCCTGCGTCCCCATCGATCGATACTCGGCCTTTAAAGGCCTCCCCGATTGGGTCCGAATCAATGGGGTCGGAGGATGGCGCCGCATCGCCCGATGCATCGATGATGTATCGGTGGCGTCGGCGGTGCATCGGCGACGCCAGCGTGGAGAAGTTCGGGCGCCACATCGAGCCGCATCGCCGATGCATCGGCGATACGGCGCGATCCTGCGACCCCATCTACTCCGACCCCATCTGGGACGCCTAGATATAAGAAGAACAGAAACACCACAAACATGATTGCTTGGCGCGCGGAGCGCCAACTGTTTATGTCTATGGCGTTCTTTCTTCGAGCCTGGACCCTCGATCCTCCTTCCATCCTCCGGGTCTCATCCTCGATCCCCCCGCGTACATTGCCCCTCCCGCTGTCGCCCGCCCGCTCCGACCCGCCTCGAGGCCCGCAATGCGCCCTCGAGCCCACCCACAGCTCTAGGCAGGAGGGAGGGAGGAGGCGGGAGGGAGGAGGGAGGAGGGAGGAGGGAGGAGGGAGGAGGAGGGAGGAGGAGGGAGGAGGAGTGAGGAGGGGAGGAGGAGGGGGGAGGGAGGAGGAGGGAGGAGGAGGAAGGAGGGAGGAGGGAGGAGGGAGGAGGGAGAAGGACCTCTCCCTGGGTACCTCCTTCGATCCTCCAGACCTCCTCGCCCCTCCGAGCCTCCAGGCAGGGGGCCTCCGCAGGCGGGACCGCATACACATCCGAGCCCAGATGCCTCCTCGATCGGACCGCCCCCTCCGGGCACTTCTCCCGCCCCTCCGGGCCACCGGGGGTCTCCGGAGGCAGATGGCCACGCTTGGGTCGGCGTGTCCTCCTACAGGCGGGTCGCGGACGAAACATAGAAGGTATACTCCAAAGTGTTCAACAAAAAGGCCAACAATGGCAAACGAAAACAACCCCCGGACTACCTCATGACCATTTCTGACTGCTCCTCCCGTACAGAGGGACACGCCCGACTTCCGGCCAAGTGCTCGGTGCCCCGCCTCGGGGCTCGCCCCGCCCGCCCGCCGCGGACCCGCGGCCCCCCGAGGCCGCGGGGGTGCCGGCGGGCGGTGCCGCGCCCCGGCCGGGGGCTGCCCGCAGAGGCGAGGGTCCTCCGCTCGCCGCAGCTGCTGCTGCGAAGCTCTCGAGAGGGCCGCATTCCGACCTGCAGAGCCAGCGCGGCGCTTTTTGAAGACGAGCTCGGCCCTCAGAGCGAGACGCAGCTCTCTCTCTCACTCTCTCTCTCTCTCTCTTTCTCTCCCCCTGGGATCGGCGACGCACAGGGGGGAGGGCCTCCCAGAGGGCCTCCGAAGGCCTCTCCTGGCTGCCCGCCGCGCCGGGGAGCCTCCCCAGCAGGCCTCCCTCGGAGCCCTTCAGAAGCATCCGAGGGGAGACGACGACGCGTCTCTGGTTCGGGCAGAGGATAGAAAGGGAAGCAGCACAGGGGGGTTCGTGAATCAGTTCACGCGTGGCTGGATCTCCTGACGCCTCCTAGGCGCTGGGAGGCGCCGGCTGCCTGCCGTCACCCGCAAAAACACCGGCTACGGCGGACCTGGGTTGGTGACGCTGGCCAATTTCGGGTCGGGCGAAAGGGGGGGATAGCAAAGGGGGGGTTTGAGAATCAGCCCCCTCGCAGCTGATTTTCCCTGCGCCTCCCAGCGCTGGAGGCGGCCACGTATCGAGGAACGGGCCCCTCGGTGAGGCCGAATCCAGCTGCGGGCAGCAGATTTCGTACCCCCCCCTTCCCAATCCCCCCCTCTCGTCCGGCCCGACCATTGGTGAGCTCCAGGGCCCTGCCACTGCCCGGGGCCCCCCTTGGCCCGGGGTCCGGGCTCTCTCTCTCTCTCTCTCTCTTTTTTCTGTCTCTCTCTCTCTCTCTCTCTCTCTCTCTCTCTCTCTATATATATATATATGTGTGTGTATGCCCGAGCCACACCCGTCTGCGGCGCCCGACGAGGCCGCCCGCGCGCCACCCCGGCCGACGCTCGGCGGCGCGGGCCGCCCGCCTCCCCCCCCGGTCCCCCCGCCGCCGCTCGGACGCCCCCATCCCTCGTGCTTTGGTTGTCGGCTTCGGGCGCGTCAGCTCTCGTTTTGCTCGCAGGAGGACCCCCCCTCCCAAAAAGCTCCGCTCGGTGGCCCTCGCCGCGGGGAGAAAAAAGAACGCGCGTTCCCTCTGCTGCTCGCGGGACGACCCCAGAGAGGCTCCTCGACGGCCCTCGCGGGGAACAAAAGGTGCACGCGCCCGAGCGAGGCCTCCTCCTCCGCGGCCGCCTCTGCCTCTCCGCCACCCGCTCTCAGGTGTGCCCCGTGCCCCGCGCGGCCCGAGCTGGCCCTGCGGTCGCGCTCGCGCCTGCCCGCGCTGACGACCGTGGGTTCCGCCAGGAGGAGGAGGAGGAGGAGGAGAAGGAGGAGGATGAGGAGGAGGAGGAGGAGGAGGAGGAGGGGGAGGAGGGGGAGAGTAGGAGGAGGTGGAGGAGGAGGAGGATGAGGAGCAGGAGCAGGAGGAGGAGGAGAGCAGGAGGGAGGAGGGGGAGGAGAGGAGAGGACGGAGGAGGAGGAGAGGGGAGGAGGAGGAGGAGGAGGAGGAGGAGAGAGTGGAGGAGGAGGAGGAGGAGGAGGTAGAGGAGGGGAAGGAGAGGAGGAGTGGAGGAGGAGGAGGAGGAGGAGGAGGAGGATGAGGAGCAGGAGCAGGAGGAGGGAGGGCGCAGGAGAGGAGGGGGAGGGGGAGATGAGGAGGAGGAGGAGGAGGAGGAGGAGGAGGAGGAGGAGGAGGAGGAGGAGGAAGGAGGAGGAGAGGAGGGGGAGGGGGAGGACGAGGTGTTCTCAGGTGCCCGGCGTCACCCGTCCGCCGCTCCCGACGTCGAATCAGGGCCGCAGTGCGCCCAAAAAACCGGGGTAAAAAAGGGGGGGGGGGGGCACCCAAGCAGCCCCGCCGCGCGGGGCGGGGCCTCCCCCCTCGAGCGCACCGGCGTCGCTGTCGTCGGCGTGCGGCATCGCGCCGCCGTCGGGGCCGCGGACGCTCTCCTCTGGGGCGGGGCGGGCCGTGCGGGGGGAGGGAGGTGAAGCTCTCGAGAGCATCGAGGAGGAGAGTGAGGGAGGGAGGGAGGGAGGGAGGGAGGCAGGGGGGGGGGGGGGGGGGCAGAAAGGATAGGGCAGGGAAGGAGAGCGGAAGGAGGAGGGGGGAGGGAGGGGAGGTGAAGAGGGGAAAGGAGATGGAAAGGGAGGGGCAGGGAGGGAGGTGAGAGAGAGAGAGAGAGAGGAAAGAGGAGAGAGAGAGAGAGAAGAGAGAAGAAGAGAGAGAGAGAGAGAGGGAGAGAGGGAGGGGCAGGAAGGGGCAGGGAGGGGAGGCAGGGGGATGGAGAGGGAGAGAGAGGGAAGGGGAGAGAGAAGCAGGAAGGGGGAAAAGGGGGCAGGTGGATACGCCACGACAATATGTTACTCAGATGCCCTCCGACTGATTCGGCAGGTGCCTTCAGGGATGCCGGCTGTGTACAAAGCCGCTGGCTCCCGGTGGCGCTTTACACGCCGCCACCGGCCCCTCAGGCCCAGGAGCTATCCATTTAAGGGTATCTGTGTGTTTTTGTTTCGTGGCGGAGGTGGATGGGGATGGAGTGGCTTGGACTTGCCTGGGGGGAGGCAGCGAGCCGAGCCCCCAGGCGAGGGCTCTGTCAGCGGAGCTGAGCCGGGCGGGGCTGCCCTCCGCGACGGCTGCAGCCAATAGCGACCGGTGATGCGACCAATTGGGCGACTGGCGCCCTGCGCCCAGATGGAGGAGGGGGGGGCAGGGAGGGGGGGTCGAGGAGGAGAGAAGAGAGAAGGGAGGAGGAAGGAGAGGAGGAGGATGAGGGATAGGACGAGGATGTCAAAGGGGGAGGGGAGGAGGGGAGGAGGAGGAGGAGGAGGAGGAGAGGAGGAGGAGGAGGCAGGAGGAGGAGGAGGAGGAGGAGGAGGAGGGAGGAGGAGGAGGAGGAGGAGGAGAAGAGGAGGAGGAGGGGGGAGGAGGAGGGGGAGGAGGAGGAAAGAGGGACAATGATGAGAGCGTTTGCGAAGTGAGTCTGACATGAGATCTAAGCCCTGGCAGCCTGCTCAGCCTTGCTGAGCACCTCGGGCCAACGATCCGCCTCCGCCGGCCGCGCGGGGGCTCCTCCACGGAGCCGAGCCGCCTGCCCTGCGCGTCCACCGCGCTTGCGAGCTTCCGGACGTTGGCGGTGAGCCGCTTCGACATCTCCTGCGGGAGCCGCCCCGCTCGGGAGCCCTCTGCGGGAGATCGACGATCGCGGTGTTCGGTCGCGGAGGAGGCTCAGGAGGAGGAGGAGGAGGAGGAGGAGGAGGAGGAGGCGGAGGAGGAGAAGCAGGAGGAGGAGGAAGGAGGAGGAGGAGAGGAGGAGGGGGAGAGGAGGAGGAGGAGGAGCGTGTCCAGTGGAGGTGGAGCTGGCCGTATGGAGGAGAAGGAGGAGGAGGAGTAGAGGAGAGGAGGAGGAGGAGGAGGAGGAGGAGGAGGAGGAGGAGGAGGAGAGAGGAGGAGGGGGAGGGGGGAGAAGGGGGAAAATGCGGAGGTTTGGAGGAGGAGGGGGAGGGGGAGGGGAGGATGGAAGAGGAGGAGGAGGAGAGGTAGGAGAGGAGGAGGAGGGGAGAGGAGGAGGAGGAGGAGGAGGAGGAGGAGGAGGAGGAGGAGGAGGAGGAGGAGGAGCAGGAGGAAGGTGGGAACAGGAGGAGGAGGAGGAGGAGGAGGAGGAGGAGGAGGAGGAGGAGGGTGGGAGGTGGGAGCTGCGTCGACCACGACACCAGAGCCATCAGCGCCCAGCGCCCAGGAGGAGGATCGAGGATCGAGGATCGGGGATCGAGGATCGAGGAGGCTGGAGGGCATCTCGGAGCGGGGTGGCCACTCAATGCACATGCGCGCCTGGTGCTCGGAGGGGCGTGGGGGGGGGGCTATTCATGCAGCTATCGCGCTGCCGTAAGGAGCGCCAGGGAATGAGGACCGAGGGGGCTACGGTCGGGAACGTCTGCTTGGCCTGTCGATCCGCGCCGCGGGGCGGGAAGCTGGGAAGAGGCTCGGGATGTCGACGCTCGGGGACGCGGTTAGTGCGTGGCTCCGAGGGGTGGCGGGCCAGAAACGGCGGAGCGACACGCTTCTCAGCGCGCCGGGGAAGCGGTACCAGCGCGGATCCGCGAAATCCGCGCGGGCCTCGGACAGCTCATGTTTCTGCAACTTGACTTCCTCGAGCCCTGCTGGCTTGCGGACATCGGTTGTGACTTCGAAAAGTACGCACCACACTGGATTACGTTCCTGGCGCGCCGTCGGGACAAAGGTCAACCCCCGCCAGGACAACGGGCGAGCCCGCTGGGAACAAAAATTGAGAGTGGACGAACGGGGGGATAGCGAATCAGCTGCTTGCAAGCGTCTCGGGGCGTTGGGGCCCAACCCAGCTGCACGCAGCAAATGTCGCATCCCCTCGTTCCCCATTCCCCAGTCGGACCGCCCGAAAGGATAAGCAGAATAACGATCAAGGAACGACAAGAAGGATATCGGCAAGAAGGACAGGGAGTAGTCAGGGAGGAAAGACATTGCCCACAGAGGGAGGCAACGTTCGACACCCGCGGTAACCCGACCCCGCAGCAAAACGAGTACAGTAGATACACCGAAGAAGAAGAAAAAGAAGAAGCGTGTGCATGTCATCGACGATACGCAAGAGTGATCCTTCGCAAGAGTGACCTTTGGTGCTGACCCCAAGGGTGTCGGGTGATTTTTCTTTTGGAATGAGCTCGGCCTCACGTCGGCACCCGTAGCGCGTGGTTGCATTCGCATCTAAGCGCGCCAGGTTTGGGCCCCTTCCCTATGAATCGGCCGCAACGCAAATGCGGCGCACCCTAAAGTGCGCATTCGGTTACCGAGGGGGGGCCGCTCGACCGGGCGGCGCGTTTTCCGCCTCAGGACTGGTCCCGAATCCCAGCCCAAAGCCCAAATCGTCCAGTTCGAATATCTTTGAAAGACTTTCCGAAGCAAAGGGGTCTTCACTATTGCAAACTACCTAAGTCTATTCAAACAAATGCTGGGCCCAGGGATGGGGCCGGTGTTGGCTACGACGCTGGACCTAGCCAGACGTCATCGCGACGCTGCCCAGCAATGTTAAACCTAGTCGTGGGGCCCCCCCGGCAGCGTCTGCTTTCGCAGTGCCTTCGAGGTGCCGTTCGGGGAGTTCGAATCCCATTGGCAGAATTCCGCGGTTGCCCGCTGGCGCGCAGGATCCTTCGAGGTGCGTCCCGCCGATCGTTGATGCGGCGCGGCAGGACTGGCTTACGAGGTAGCTCTGGGCCCCCACGGGCGCCCCTGAAGCCGTGCACTAAAAGCCACTCTAGCCTAGGGTCACTCTTACGTCAGTCATCACGTGCCCTACGGAAAATTATGCTTCCATGGCGGCCCCAGACACCCGTTGGAGCTATGGGGCATCATGCGAGACTCAAGATCGACCGAACGATGCGCCCCTGAAGTCTGACTGCGAGACCACTTGATGTATACAAAATCAGTCACCATCAAATAGGGAAACCGGCTCGAATCGAACTGCGCATCGGATCGGGCTGCATCTGCACAGTGTCGGCATCGAGTCGGATCGGTCGCGCCAAGATGCACCACGGCGCCGTACCTGCATCGGACCATATCAAATCGCCTGAATATCGGAATCGCATCGGATCGGAGCGGCCAGACGCGACATCGAACCAGATCGATCGGAACGAAATGGACCCTGCGTGTGTATCTGCGGCATCCCCCGCCCCACCCGTTGCTCCCACGGCCCCACGAACACAAGCGGGCCTCCGAGGTGGCCGCGGACATGGCCAGCTTCTGCTGCTGGGCGTGGAGCAGCTGCTCCAGGTCGCGCGTCTTCTGCCTCCCAGGGGAGAGGTCTCGCGGCCAGAAGTGTCTCCAGGAGGTCTCGCGTCTTCTGCCTCCCAGGTGGGCACAAATCCAGATCCACCGCCTGTGGGAACGACGTCCCGGGACCCCCGCGGGCAGTGGGTACGAGTACGTGTTGGCCCCAGAGGCCCCGAAGCAATCCACATCCACGGCCTGCCCCGGCCAGGCGCCCCCCCCCCCGCGCAGCAGCGCGTGCTCACTTTGAGCCCAACCCCTCGCAAGCACACGGGGAGCGACCGGCGCACAGGTTGTACGTGCGGGGCGTTGACCTGAGGAACCCTGAATAAGGAACGAGGCTCCTTTCTTCCATAGGTCAACCTTCGATCTGAGGCAAGCTGTGAAACAATTGAGGAACACGGGGCCCCTCCCCAACGAAAAGGGTTCCTCCTTCAGCGACCCGACTGTGCGTGCGAGTCGGCACCCCGATCACCAGATGGTGGCCAGGGGTGCTCCCAGGGCGTGCTGCCCCCCCCAGGGTCAGGGCACCCCCGGAGGCGGCTCGAAGCTGCACGGTGGCCCGAGAGACCCCAGAGCACGAGCGCTGGACGACGGCTGTGGTGTGCCCCACGGCCCGTTGAGGCCATGGGGAGAAGGTGCCGAATCCCTTGCTGGACGACCCGGCCCGGTCGCTGTGCAGGTTCCGTGCCGCCCCCGCTTCTCCTCGGCTGTCTCGCCGAACGGTGGCAGAACGGTGGCCCCAGAGTTTGGTGCCAAGTTCGGGCGCAACCTTCAAGTCATCGCTCCCAAGAGCTCGCAGTGTGTCGAGTCGCTGATCGCCAGGTCACATCGAACACAATGAAAGTACTTCAATTTGCTTCGGATCTGATCAAAACCAGATCCACCAAATCACCGAACCACATGATGTAGCCCACCGTCAATTCAAGTCGAAGTCCCACCGTCCAATTATATTCTATGTTTCACGGTGACCGATCAATCAGCTTCCTCATCCTTCTCCTCCTCTTCCTTCTCTTCCTCCTCTATTATTCATCATCCTCTCTTCTTCTTCTTCGTCTTCTTATTATTATTATTCCTCCTCCTTCTCCTCCTCCTTCTCCTCCCCCCATTCCTCTTCTCCTTCTTTCTCTCCCATCCCCTCCTCTCCCCACATGGAGGGTGGCAGGAGGGCGATCAGGGAGGGGCCCGAGACCTCTGAGCGACCCGGGCCGGCGCAGGAGCAGGGGCCGAGGGGCCGCCTGACCAGCTCCTCGCAGGCGCCGGATCGCAGCCGCACCTCCAGCAGCCGGGAGGGTGGCACGAGGGAGGAGACGAGGGGAGGGTCGCGGGCGCGGAAACTACTGGCATCCTTTGTCCTCGCGGTCCAGGCTCCTCGGCCACGACCCCGCGGATGCGGAGCAGCTCCTGCACAGACCGCACCCGTGGGATCGCGTAGGTAGCAATGGGGGCGCACCACGGCCTCCAGGTCGCGAGGGCACTGAAAGGGATATCTGCGCCGCTCGCGAGAGCATCGGGGGAGGAGGGAGCGGGTGACCGTGCGGTAGAGCAGGGGCCACGGAGTCTCGATCCGAGTACGCTCGCGCCCTGCCTTAGACGCAAGATCTCGTACCCTTATCCACGAGCTGTTTAGCGCAAAACCTGCACCTCGGAACGCCGATTCGGCGACGCACCCATGTGGGCAAGAAGACCGCTCGCCCCACCCACTCTGCTTCAAGAGAAGTAAGAGAGTGAAGGAGGAACAAAGGAGGATCAGAGGCTGCAGCGGCAACGCGCAAGAAAGACAATACTCTTGACGCCATGACTCTGATGGGCAGTGCACTGCGCAAACTACGGTCAGCATCTCCCCCCCGCCTGCTCGTCCTCCTCCCCCACCATCTCCTCCCTCCCACCTCGTCGTACTCCCCTCCCGCTGGTGCTCCCATTCCTCCGTCTCCTGCTCGTCCACCGCCTCTCTCGCACACTCGTGGTGCAGGGTCTGAGCCAGGTGGCGCGCGCGAGAGGTCAGAAAAAGGGGAGATGGCGGCCCGTCCTCCCTCGCTTCTCACGCACCCCCCCTTCCCTCCTTCCCCTATTCGTCACCTCCCTCTTACCCCATCCCCCCTCCACATCCACCTGCCACCTCCCTCCTTGCACCTCCGCCTGCCCCCCCCCCCCCTTCCTCCTCCCTCCACCTCCACCTCCACCTGCTATCCCTCCTCCCTCCACCGCCCTCTTCCCCCGTCCTCCATTCACCTCCCTCCTCTCCTACCTCCTTCTCCCCTCCCCTCCCACCTCCCCCTCCGTCCTCCCCCCCTGGAGCAGGGACCCACCATCCCGGCATCCCTATAGGCCTAGCACGAAACGTTCCTAGAACCCACACGTGCTCTGAACACATAAACGAATTCCTTAGAACATAAACCCGATGCGACAAAACAAGACAGCCTCAACCAGAAATGTTCCAAGAGCACTCCGTGCAGACCACAATAGGTTCTGGGAACATTCTGCAGGGGGCCTATAGGCAAGCCGGGACGCTTCGTCACTGCTTATCCCCCACCCCCCCCCCCGCCCCCTCCCTCCACCTCCATCTTCCCCCGTCATTCCTCCACCTCCCTCTTCTCCCACCTCTTTCCCCTCTCCCTTATCCACCTCCCCCTCCGTCCCCAACCTTGATCATGGACCGACCGTCCTGGCATCCCGATAGACCTACCACGACATGTTCCAAGAACCCAGACATGTTCGAAAGACACAAGCCATGTTCTTAGGACACAAACTCGACGCAGTAAAGCAGGACAGCCTCGGCTAGACATGTTCTATGAACACCTGCAGACTACCAAATAATGTTCCGATGACATCCTCTGGTGCGCCTATAGGCAAGCTGGGACGCTTCGCCACTGCTTGACCCCCTCCCCCCCCCGCCCCCTCCCTCCCCCCCCCCCTCCTCCACAAGGCCTTCTCGTCCAGGCCCTCGACGCGCCGCGCCAGGGCGGACATCTCCTCGAGCAGCCCGCCCATGCTGCCCTCGCAACGGGCGGGCCAGAAGGGCGGCGCGCGGTCGAGGACGACGACGACGATGAGGAGGATGCCCCCCTTTGAAATCCGTCGTTATAGGGGTGCTTGGGGGGGCGACATGTGTTGGTTTGTTTTTGTTATTCTCATATCCTCTGGCACCCGTGTGGGGCCACCAGGCTGCGAGGGTGAGGGTTGCTGCTCCCTGCGCCAGTTCCAGCTTCCAGTTTCCAGTGCTGCAGTCCTGCTTTCGGCTTCCTGCTGTATGCTGTGACCGTCCGCGCGAGGGGGGGGTAGCCGAACACCAGCCAACTCACCACGCCTTGGGCGCGTCGTCTGCACTGCTGGGGGGAGGCTCTTTATAAAACGTGCAGGATACTCGCGCCTCCGAGGCCATAATCCCAAGTCGACTGCGCAATGTTCGCGTTCCCGAAGCCCTTCGGAATTTATGCAAGTTGTGCGACCCCGAGGCAACAAAAACCTTCGCAAATCACGCCGAGTTCGCGCCCCAGACGCCACACACCCTCACACATTATACCAGTCTTGCGTCCCCGAGGCAATCAACTTTACAACTTACGCAATGTAGACCTCCCCAAAACAGCCCAAGACGCGTCCAAGAGGGCCCCCAGACGGCCCAAGAGGGCTGCAATATTGCCCAAGAAGCGCTCCAAGAAGTTCCGACAAACCCCTAGGAGGCCTCTAGAGAGGCCCCAAGAGGCCCCAAGAGGCGCCCAAGACGCGGCCAAGAGGCCTCCGATAGGCCCAAAAGATACCACACGAGGCCCCAAGAGTCCCCCAAGAAACGCCCAAACCGCCTCCAAGAGGCCAACGAATGGCTCCCCACAACACCCCAACACATACTCAAGAGACCTCAGACCCACAACCCAGGCACGGTAGGGGGATGAGCGGGAAACCGCTAGGATAACGCCAACGTTTCAATATGCGCTGTTGATTCCCATCCGCCCCCGCATGATGCTCCCAGTTGCGCCAAGGCAGCGCCGAGACGCACCGACGCGACTCTGAGATATCCCATTAGGATAATGGGGCCGGCGGCAGGGGGCGAAGCCCTTACGGATACGTAGCACCCCGCAATTGCGGATAAGAGTGAGGGGGCGGGCGCGGGCGCCGCGGGCGTCGAGCGGGCGGACCTCGTGGCCTTCACCTTCCCTGTCGATGGCGCCCTCCTCCTCCTCCTCCTGCTCCTCCTCCTCCTCTTCCTTGTGATTTGCGTGCTCTGACAAGTTCAGCGCGGAGGGGATCGCTGGTGGGCCACCCGGAACGAATGTAAAAACAGCCCGCCGCAGGCGCCGAATTTTTGGCTTGTTCAGTGAACGTAGTTTTGGTCGCGGGTATGTCGCGGGCTCTCCACCTCCACCTGGAAGGAATTCAAAACAAGCTCGCCGCAGACGCCGAAGATTTTGATTTGCACACTGAACGCGGTTTGGGTCGCAGGTTCTCCACCTGGAACGAATGCAAAAGAAACCCGCCGCAGGCGCCGAAGTTTTGGCTTCTTCGGTGAACGTAGTTTTCGTCGCGGGTGGGTCGCGGGCTCTCCACTTCCACCTGGAAGGAATTCAAAAACAGCCCGCCGCAGGCGCCGAAAATTTTGGTTTGTACACTGAACGCGGTTTGGGTCGCGGGTGGGTCGCAGGTTCCCCACCTCGAACGAATGCAAAAGAAACCCGCCGCAAGCGCCGAAAATTTTGGGTGGGTCGCGGGGTGGGTCGCGGGTGGTCGCGGGTGGGTCGCGGGCGCCGTTTGGGTCGCGGGTGGGTCGCAGGTTCTCCACATGGAACGAATGCAAAACAAAATTGCCGCAGGCGCCGAAAATTTTTGGTGGGTCGCGGGGTGGGTTGCGGGTAGGTCGCGGGCGGGAAGGTCGCGGGTGGGTCGCGGCGTGCGGTCGCGGTTGGGTCGCGGGTGGGTCGCGGGTGGGTCGCGGGGTGGGTCGCGGGTGGGTCGCCGGTGGGTCGCGGGTGGGTCGCCGGGGAGGTCTCGGGGAGGGGCGCGGGTGGGTCGCGGGGTGGGTCGCGGGTGGGTCGCGGGTGGGTCGCGGGTGGGTCGCGGGGTGGGTCGCGGGTGGGTCGCG